GGGAGCTCATGTATCTCAGACTGATAACTGGGAAACCAGTATAGGATCGACCCAGACCCTCTGATTCTGAGTGTCAATTAAGAGGCTTGGGAAATTTATGTGGCTTCTGACAGTGGATCAGTATTTTTCCCTAGTATATGAATGGACTTTGAGAGCCCATTCCACAAAGAAGGATACTCTCTCAACCTAGATATATGGGGGGAGGGCCTAAGACATCCTCCAAATGATATGACAGACTTTGAAGATCCCCCATGGAAGGCCTCACTCTCCCTGGTGAGCAGAAATGGGATGGGATGGGATGGGATGGGATGGGGGGACAGAGGAGGAGGGGAGGGAGAGGGAGCTGGGATTGACATGTAAAACAAGCTTGTTTCTAATTTAAATTTTAAAAAATCTGAAAAAGACCTATTTTAAATAATATTAGCTATGAATCTAATCCAGGCTACTCACCATGTCCATCTACCTTTTGCTATGAACAGAGTTCTGCTGACCTCTGAGCCAGGAATCATTTCTCTTTCAAATTATCTGTGCTGGGTAGTTTTATGTGTTGACACAAACTAGAGTCATCTGAAAGGAGAAAACCTCAATTGAGAAAATGCCTGCACACAATCTAGCTGTAGGCAAGACTGTAAGGCATTTTCTTAGTGATTTATAGGGAAGGTGCCATCCCTGGGCTAGTTGCCCTGGGTTCTATAAGAAAGCAGGTTGAACAAGCCATGAGGAGCAAGTCAGTAAGTAGCACCCTCCATGGTCTCTGCATCAGCTCCTTCTTTCAGGCTCTGGTCCTTCTTGAATTCCTGTCTGAACTTCATTTAATGATGGACTATAAGGTGGAAATATAAGCCAAATAAACCCTTTCCTCATAATCTTGCTTTTGGTTGTGATATTGCATTGTAGCAATAGCAACCCTAACTAAGGCAATAACTAAACAAACTATTGCTAAAATGACTACACAAGGATGAGCAAATAAACTGTTTTGGGGAGACTGTCACTGAATCTGCCCCAAAGAAGGAATCCCAGGAAGGCACTGTAACCTTACAACAGTCTTATATCCTCTAGTCCACATCTACTTGATTTCAGGCACCTGATCATTTTCATCATAATATCTTGATCATTCCTCAAGGAATTTTGGTTCTGTGTTTGTTTTCTTTGGCTTTTTTTTAATGAGAGTGAGTGTCTGAATGGCTAGTGTCTGTGGAGGTCACGAGAGCATGTTGGATCTCCTGGAACTGGAGTTTTGGATAGCAATGGTCTACTATGTGGTGCTGGGAATCAATCCCAGGCTATCTAGAAGAGTAACTGGGGCTCTTTTTTTTTTTTTTTGGAGGTGACTGGAGTTTTTTTTTTAATATTTTTTAATTTTATTTTCCAGTTTAAATTTAGATAAGAATCAAGGTTGCTTCACAAGTCAGTTCCAGGTCCCTCTCCCATTCCCTCCCTTCCTCCCGTGCCCTCCCCTCCCCCCCCGTTATCCTCTCATTTCTCCAGGGAGGGTGAGGCCCTCCATGGGGGTGTCCATAGTGTAACTGGGGCTCTTAACCCCTGATCCATATCTCTATCCTCTTCTTTGGCTTTTTATCTTCATTTTTTTAATCTGTGTGAAAGTGACAAGAGTAGACAATACGACTGTCTTCCACAACTATTAACATTTTCTCACATTCCCTCTCTCCTCTTTGAAATGCCCATTATGATACATTCAAAGAACAACAAAAGCATTGCCCCATTGCAGTCGAAGCTTGCTTTCTCTGTCAGACAAGGCCAGGAGCGGGGGCTCATGACAGCCCAGTCCACCACAGCTATCTCTTCCTTGTCATTGCTGGCCTTTCTTCAGCCTTGCTGATGATGGCAGCAGCATGCCATGTGCTTGGAATCCTTGAAGAAGGAAATGCAAGCAGCAAAGCTGTCTGCTGTTGTTTTGGTTTGCTTTGGTAACAAAGAAATTGCAACTTACAGACATGATACAGTCTTAAAACTATTAGCTCACACTTTTGTACATCTTCAAGAGTGACATTTTTCCCTTTGAGCTCAGGTAATACAATTTTTTTAAAAAGCAAAGCTGTTCTAATTCGCTTTCCATTGCTGAATCAAAACACTCTAACAAAAATCAACTTGAGGAGGGGAGGGTTGTATAGGTCACAACCCATCACCAAGGAAACCAAGGCAGGGGCTTGAAGCTTGAACTGGAGAGGAACTTTATACACAAATTTACTTTCTCTGGCTTGGGCAACTACCTCCTTATGGATGGCACCACCTTCAACAGGCTGAACCCTCCTACACCAATCAGCAATTGAGAAAATCTGGTGGAGGCAATTCTTCAGTTGAGGTTTCCTCTTCCCAGGTAACTCCAAGTTAATGCCAAGATGACGACTGAAAACTATAACAAAAGGTTATGCAGAACCTCAAGTGGTAGGATAGATGTCAACTGAGTAACATCTCTATGTCAGGATCATGCAATCTGCAAGAGAGGGACACGCAGAAACACAGGAAGTTGATGTGAAGGCTATCTGTACCTTCATAGCTATAGGCTGGTGTGTTTGCTTTAAACATGCTGTCTTGGCAGGCACTCCCACATGCTTCTGATGAAACCAAATTCTAGGAGTGCATACTAAAGCAATTACTAAGTACATGTTGAAAAATAAAAACTCAAAAGCATTTACCGTAATTTGGGTTGTAAAAGATAAATGCAGTCAAACTTTCCCAACAAATGACTAAATGATTTATGGCAGTCTATTCAATGCTTAACCTAACAATGTAAAACAATTTTATAATAGTAAGAAGTAGTACTCAAAAACATATATAGCATAATTATAATTATAACTAGATTGTAAAATATGAATATAAAACACTGAAGGGAAATGCAATAAGGTATAAGAATAGTTATATGTGGTGAGGTGATTATGGTCAAATTTATTTTCTTTTCCTTAATATCATACAGTCTGCTGATTGATAACAAATCATTATCTTCTAAAGATATTATTTAGCAACATTCTTCAGAGAAACAACTATTCTAGTTCAGCTTTTCTTTCCCTGTTCAAGAGGAAAACTGTATACTAATTCTGCATCAGAGAAAATGGCTATCTCACAGACAGGCACTAAAGGAAGGCTTTCTTGTGGAATTCTGTAAGACACACTTTTATGACTGTCTTCACAAAGAATCTCAGGCACAGGCATTCCAGAATGTCACGGAAGGAAACATAAACAGGATAGCAGTTTTAGCAACATCAACACTTGTAAATTAGCAGTTCAGTATTTGGACTATCCCTGTCTCTCTTGCTTGTATTCCATATATCTTTCTCATCTGATTATTTCTCTTAGATCTTTTCCCCCATGCTCTCAGGAAATCATCTCATGAAATACGAGATGATCACAAACCAGTAGTCTTAAATCAAAATGTATTGAAAGTTGAAAGACCACTGACAGAGCAAAGCCATGATTTACTGTGACTTGATTCATGGAGATGGTATGATGGAGTCTGAGTTCAATCAAATATTTCACTCATTGCCTGATCCACTCAGCAGTTCTTAGGGCTCATGGACATGGATACAAAGAACAATTGTGCATCCTGGACAGACAGCAGACTGTTAAGGCGGAACAAAGTGACACCTGGAGGCAGGCACATAATTTTGACAAGCCATCAAAGTGAAGGAAAACCAGAAAATAGATCCAAAAAGCATCCCGAAAATTATAAATATAAGCGTCTTCTTCCTGGGGCTTAATGGACAGAACCCAGAAATACTAAGACTGCCTAAGATCCTAAGATAACGAGAGCTCGGAATCATTTTTCAAGTACATTATATGATTTAAAAATTGGAGAATTTGGAGATTAATTATTGTATTGTGTTTTTGCTGTGATCTTACATTAATCCCAAAACAATGTGCAAACTTGATATGCATTAGTAAACAAGAGGGTAACTTTCATCTTGAGTATATGTTTGGGCAAGTTGCAATGCATATATTTTTAAGGAACCAGAGCCCTCGATTCTTCCTGCTAACATACTGTGTGTTGGTTAAGGTTTCTATGACTGTAATGAAACACCATGACCAAAGTAACTTGGGGAGTTAAAGGGTTATTTGGTTTATACTTCCATATTGCTGTTCAGCAGCAAAGGAAGTCAGGACAGGAACTCCGACAGGATAGGAACCTGGAGGAAGGAGGTCATGGAGGGGAGCTGCTTACAGCCAGCCTTGCTCTCCATGGTTTGCTGAGCCTACTTTCTTATATCACCCAGGACCACCAACCTGGGATGGCACCACCCATAATGGGCTGGGCCCTCCCACATCATTCATAAATTAAGAAAATGCTCTACAGGCTTGTCTATAGCCATATCTTATGGAAGTATTTTCTCAACTGGGGTTCCCTCCTCTCAGATGACTATAGTTTTGACAAGTTGGCATAAAAGTCTAGGCAGCACACACTGAAATCCTTTTTTAATATATTTATTTATTATATTATTTCTGTGCATGAATGTTTTGCCTGTGTGTATGTCTGTGCATCACATGCATGCTTGATGCACATGGAGGTCAGAAGAGAGTGCCAGATCCTTTGAAACTGGAGTTACAGACAGCTGTGAGATACCATGAGGTACTAGGAATACAGCCCAGATCTTCTCAAGAGCAACAAGTATTAACTACGGAGCCATCTCTCCAGCCCAGTCTATACTCTTTCTAAGACTTGTCTATGGGTGTTTACATCTGAATAATTGTTTCTGATTCTGCACTCTAAAAGAAGCAGGCAAGGGGTATAGTGTAACTCAGTGTCCTATCAAGTATGAAGCCTTAAAATGAAGACTGCTCACATCTCAGAGAAACCACTCAATTCAAGGTAGCTGCCACTGGTGGTAATGGTAACATGGAAAGCAAAATGGACTTAAAGGGATCACTCGGGTTCTGACCCTTAGATCTACCTGATTATTTTAGTAAGGAAGAAATTAGAAAATCAAATGTGATGTTGTAAACACTGAAGCAATTAAGTTATACCTTATGTTTCCTGACAAACTCACCAAGAAGCCATCCTGAGAGCATTAATCTTTTTCCTCCTCTCCCTCCTCCTCCTCTCAGGTATATAACTTGAGGCCCAGGATGTATAGTAACTTCCTCCTGTTTGGAAAGTAATATAGATGGAATTGAAACCCAAACAGCTTTACTGCAGAGTTAGGGCTGGATATACTTTTTCTTTCTGTGTGCTATCTGCTTTTTCTGTCTTGTGGTTCCCAAGTAACATTGACAGCACACATTTCCTGGAATCGCTGAGAAATGATCCTGGAAGCTCGCTCTGTGTTACCTTTAGTGACAATGGGGAGAGAGACAGAGACAGAGAGAGAGACAGAGAGAGAGAGAGAGAGAGAGAGAGAGAGAGAGAGAGAGAGAGAGAGAGAGAGAGAGAGGAAAAAGGGAGGGACGGAGGGACAGAGGGAAGGAAAGGAAAGAGAAAGCGGCAGGACTGGGGTCTACCAAGTCCAATACAAGTCCACCACATCTTGCTGTGGACATGAAAAAGACATCCTTTTGGGTTTCCTATCTGACTTGCATAAACCTTTCAGACCTACAGAACTATAGAATTTGCCTTGGTTCATGACAGTAACTACAGAAAGCCGCACCATGTACAGCATGACCTCCTGGGACTACACGGGAAAAGTGATCTTAGGAAAGGTTACAACTCCTGCTAGTATGATAGGAGATACTGAAAGGGCACTGAGCATTGTGGCTGTCTTAGTTAGCTTAGGCTGTCAACTTGACAGCCCAGAGAAATCTGAGTGAGTGTCAATTGGGAGCTTTCCCACTTCAGACCGGCCTGTGGTACGTGCTGTAAATAGTCTTCTTTGTTAATTGATATAACAGGGCTCAGCCCACCAAGGGCCCTGCCACCTCTAGGCAGCTGATCAAGGCTGTAAAAGAAAGTAGCCCCTCTTAATGGGGGTGTCAGTGAGGAGGCCTGGATAATCTATTGAGCCTTAGGCAGTAGATCAGTATTCATCACGAGTATACACATGGACTTTGGACTCCCATCCAACAATGTGAGAGGCACTCTCACCTTGAACTCTTGGGGGAGGGTCTGGGCCCTGCCCTGGATGAAATGAAAGACTATGGACACCTCCATAGAGGGCCTCACCCTCCCTGGGGAAATGAGGGGATATTGGGGGGGGGGAGTTGGAGGGAGGACACGGGAGGAGGGGAGGGAAATGGAGAGGGACCTGGAACTGACTTGTGAAGCAACCTTGTTTCTAATCTAAATTTAAACTTAAAAATAAATAATAAAAAAGAAAAAAAAAAGAAAGTAGCCAACCAAGAGTCAAAACGCAAACCAATAAGCATCATTCCTCCATGATCCGAGCTTTAGTTGCTGCCCTGATTTCCATCAGTGGTGGAAATATAAAGTATATCTTTTAAATAAAAGTATGAAGTATAATGTGAAATAAACCGTCTCCTCCACATGTTGCTTTTGGCCACAGTGTTTATCACAGCAACAGAAAAGCAAACTGCAACAGTGGTTTTAGTGTGAAGATGATACATGCGTCCTCCTCATGGAGAAGCCATGGATGTAGTGAATGTATCTGTAACTAATGTTAGTCTCCGGAGTCACATTACCCTATAAAAACATAAGTGGTAACAAAGACTTGTCTGTACTAATGCACAATAAAGACACCATTAAATCCAGAATATGGCTGAAACAAAACGATGGTTACATACCTCAGGGACAGAAAACTCTCTTGCCTCTAGCACATATGGCATAGAGTGACATATTAATGAAAAATGTACCCCTATGCAATCCTAATTAAATAAAAACATTTAACTATATGACAAGACAGAGAACAAACATTGGGGCAGCTGCATGAAATAGCATAAAATGAATTGGTGTTCTCGTTATGTAACCTGGACCTCACTCATGATAAGGGGATTCATATGGGTAGTTAGGGGCTGAAATTGATCTTGTATTGGAATTCCCTACATAGTGTGACACAAAATAGAGACTCTTTTAAAATGTAAGCGTGATGGTGATTCTTGACTATCAACCTGCTTAGATTTCAACCTGCCTAGATTTAGAACCACCTAGGAGACACACCTCTGGGTTTTCCTGTGAGTTTCCAGAAATGTTTAAAGGCAGTGGGAAGTGGGAATGTAGATAGCAGCACCCCAGCACCACTAGGGTAATAAACTGAATAAAACTGAGAAAGCCAGCTAAGCCCAAACATGAATCACTCTCTGCTCACTAACTGCAGAGAAAATGTGACCATCCCCCTCATGATGGACTGACTGTACCTTCAAACCATGACCCTAAATAAATCTTTCCTTAAGTTGTTTTTGTGGCATATTGTGTTGTGACATCAAGAGAAGTAGTCAATACACTGAGTGTCCTCTAGTGTCTGTTCCCCACCCCCACCCCACTCTGGGCATAAAAGGGTGAATAACAGCCAGTGTCCTGAAGAGTTAACACTGTAGCCAACAGTGCTGGCTCGTGGTGGAGATGGTCAGGGTAAAGAAGAACGGCTGCTGGTGCTGGGGTAGAGATAGGAGTTCAGGACAAGGATACATGGATTTTCAGAATCAAGATACTGGAAAAATTATAGCAGGAGAGACACCATGATTTAGAAGGTAGTTACCCAGAACAAGGCTCACGCATTGCATTTGGAATATGTTGACCCCTGCCATTTCCCCAAAAGTGGAAAACTCGACTGCATTTTATGTAATAAGAAGTTGAGCTTCTAAAAAGTGGCTTCAGAACAAAAGGAAAAGTTCATCTTTTAAAACAAAACTGGAGCTAGAGAGATGGCTCAGCAGCTAAGAGCACTTGATGTTCTTGCAGAACCCAAGTTCAGCTCCCCAAAATCATGTTAGACAGCTCACAAATGCCTGTAACTCCAGCTCCAAAGGAGCTCTCCTAGCCTCCTCTGCCTTGTGCACATGTACACACACACACACACACACACACACACACACAGTCTCACATACACTCACACACACACAAACTTATAATACACACACACACACAGTCTCACATGCACAAACTTACACACACACACTAAACATTTAATGAAATTAAAGGCACTTGCTGTTCATTTTCTTCTCATTTCCTTTTCTCATGAGCATTAACATAGGAAGACAAATATCTAGCATGTTTAAAGACCTCTGCACCAAGTGCTTGGTGCTGCTGTGGATTTGAGCTGATTGAGTGCTTGCCTAGTATGCCAGGGTTCTAGCCCCAGCATTGTATAAACAGGGCGTAGTCACTACATGATAAAGAAGAGCAAAGGCTGGCTTAAACTATGAAACCCAATCTCCAGCCTTCAAAGGGCCTTGGGATCTCCTGGTCTAGGGACTACAGGCAGGTAGACTTGTCCCCAGCAGACCAAGCAACCTTGAGTCTGCTGATATCACTGTGCTAAACCTGCTCCCATCCACAGGGAGAGGGAGTGCCTCAGCCATACATGCACCCACCATGAGACCCATCAGAGTATCAGACCTGCTTGCACCCACTGGGAGGAACCTTGGACCTGTACCCACTAGGAGAGGAAGAGACCCCACCTGCACCCACTGGAAGAAGGGATGGGAAGGCAACAGTATAAGAACATAACACCAGTAGCACAGACACTGAGATCGACAACTAACAAATGGGACCTCCTGAAACTGAGAAGCTTCTGTAAGGCAAAGGACATAGTCAACAAGACAAAAAGGCAGCCCACAGAATGGGAAAAGATATTCACCAACCCCACATCTGACAGAGGGCTGATCTCCAAAATTTACAAAGAACTCAAGAAGCAAGTCTCCAAAACACCAAAGGATCCAATTAAAAGGTGGGGTACAGAACTAAACAGAGAATTCTCAATAGAGGAGACTAAAATGGCTGAGAGACACTTAAGAAAGTGCTCAACATCCTTAGCCATGAGGGAAATGCAAATCAAAACAACTTTGAGATACCATCTTACTCCTGTCAAAATGGCTAAAATCAAAAACACTGAAGACAATTTATGCTGGAGAGGATGTGGAGAGTGGGGAACACTCCTCCACTACTGGTGGGAGTGCCAACTTGTACAGCCACTTTGGAAATCAGTATGGAGATTCCTCAGGAAAATGGGAATCAGTCTACCACAAGACCCAGCAATTCCACTCAGAGGCATATATCCAAAAGATGCAAATTCATACAACAAGGACATCTGCTCCACTATGTTCATAGCAGCATTATTTGTAATAGCCAGAACCTGGAAGCAACCTAGATGCCCCTCAACCGAAGAGTGGATAGAGAAAATGTGGTACATTTACACTAAGGAGTATTACTCAGCAGAAAAAAAAAACAATAGAATCTTGAAATTCACAGAGAAATGGATGGCACTAAAAGAAACCATCCTGAGTGAGGTAACCCAGTCATAAAAAGACAAACATGGTATGTACTCACTCATATATGGATCTTAGACATGGATCAGGATAGTGCCAGTCTGCACTTCCACTGACAGAGAGTCTGGGAAACAGGAAAGAACCTAAGAGAGATATGCATGGTACCCCAGAGAAGAGGAATGAGGCAAGATCTTCTGAACAGATTGGGAACACAGACAGGGGTGGGGGGAGTGGGAGCTGGGAAGAAGAGAGGGGGAGAAAAGGAAGAGAGAGTAGGTCATGGGGGAACAGGAAGGTTGAGTAGGAGGTAGCATAGGGGGAAGAGGGAATCATAGGTTAGAAGACAGATCTGGTACCAGTGAGACCGCTAGTGATCTAAAGGGATGACACCAACTGGCAAGCTAAGCAATAGTGGAGAGGCCACTTTAAATGTCCATTCCTGATAATGAACTTGATATCTATAACCATCCTAGAACCTTCATCCAGTGACTGATGGAAGCAGAGGTAAACACCCATAGTTAAACACTGAACCCATGGAACCCAGTGACAGAGAGAGAGGAGCTATGAGCAAATTGGCAAAGAATGGGCTGGCAAAACCAGCAGAGACAGCTGATCTGAACAAGGGAGAGCTCTTGGACCTCAGACCGACAGCTGGAAGGCCAGCATGGGACTGATCCCAACCCCCTGAGTGTGAGAGTCAGTGAGGAGGCCTGGGCAACCTATGGGGCCCTGGGCAGCAGATCAGTGTTTATCCCTGGCATACAAATGGA